AGATTCCATCAACCTGGCTCTCACTGTTTGCCCCACCCTGGTGATTCCCTGAGGCCCAGCTCCACCCAACTTTGGACCTTACAGGCTGTTTCCAGTGGCCTTTCCATAGGCCTTTCCAGTGGCCTATCTTGGATCCTGCTTCAGATTTTCCTAATATCTTTCAGACAAGCAGCATCTCTCGCTAAGTGGCTCCAGGCCCAGCACTAGCAGCAGACAGTCTTGGTTCACAACTTGGTTTTGCCTTGGGCACCTCCAAGCCCAGCACAAGTAGCCACAATCTGCAGGTCACTTTGTGGCTTATGCCTGGTGGTCCCGGGTAGGACACAGGCAGTGGCTGACCTTGGCCTGCACCTCCCAGGAGGCCTCAGGGCCAGCACACCCAGTGGACAGCTTCAGACCACATCGAAGCACCACCCAACCACCTCCACAAGTGACACACTCAAGGGGCAAACTCAGCAGGCACCAGAGCCCCACTGAAGTAAGTCCCACTGCATGGAGTGGCCCCTGCACAGCTGATCCTCCAAGGTAGTTGCAGCCAGTCCTGCTGCCAACGGCAGTCACGGCTCAACTATAACAGGAAGGTGCACACAGTCCACCAGGATGGAAGATCAGGGGCACACCTGGAGCATCCAGCTCAGATGAATAGGGAGGCTGTGCCGCTGGACCCTACAGAAAACCTACCACAACAGGTCACTCTACCAAGCCCAGGAGATATAGCAGCTCTACCTAATACATAGGAACAAACACAGGGAGGCAGCCAAAATGAGGAGACAAAGAAACATGTCCCAAATGAAAGAAGAGAACAAAACTCCAGGAAAAGAACTAAACGAAACAAGTGATCTACTAGATGCAGAGTTCAAAACACTGGCTATAAGGATGCTTAATGAACTTAGAAATTCAACAGTATAAAAAAGGATATGAAAACCATAAAAGAGAACTATTCAGAAATGAAGTATGCACTAACTGAAATGAATAATTTGCTGAGAACTGAATCAAAGATTTGGAATATAAGAAAGCAAAAGTACCCCATCAGAACAACAAAAAGAAAAAGAATCCAAAAAAATGACAGTGTAAGAAGCCTCTGGGACCACTTCAAGTGTGCCAACATTCACCTCATGGGGGTGCCAGAAGGAGAAGAGAGACAGCAAGAAACTGAAAACCTATTTGAAAAAATAATGACAGGAAACTTCCCTAACTTGGTGAAGGAAACAGACATAAAAGTCCAGGGAGCACAGAGAGCCCCAAACAAGATGAACCCAAAGAGGCCCACACCAAGATGCATCATCATCAAAATGCAAAAGGTTAAAAGTAGAGAGAATCTTAAAAGCAGCAAAAGAAAAGCAATTAGTTACCTACAAAGGAGCTCCCATAAGACTGTCAGCCAATTTCTCAAAAAAAACAAACAAACAAAAAAAAAAACTGCAGGCCAGAAGAGAACGGCAAGAGATATTCTAAGTGATTAAAAGCAACCACCTACAACCAAATTACTCTTCCCAGTAAAGCTATTTTGACAGATAAAGAAGTTCCCAGACAAGAAAAAGCCAAAAGAGTTCATCACCATCCAACCAAATATTACATGAAACCTTGAAGGGTCTTCTTTAAGACGAAGAAAAAAGTTCAAACATATAAACAATAAAATGGCAATAAATACATATCTATCAACAATTGAATCTAAAAAACAAAATAAACAAGCAGAACAGAAGCAAACTCATAGACTCAGAACATTTTCAGAGTTGCCATATGGGAGGAAGTTCGGGGGTTGGGTGAAAAGGGTGAAGGGATTAAGACGTACACATGGACCCTACAGAATAGTCACGGGATATAAAGAACAGCACAGGGACACGTGTCTGATAAGAACAAGATTTATTGGGATGGTCACTTAGTAAGTTATGATGTCTAATCACCGGGGTGTGCACATGAAATTAATATATTACTGTCAACTGTGATTAAAAAATAAAGCATGATTCAAATAATAATTGTTCTTCTCCCCACAGGAAAAGTACCCAGAGGCTGTGCACCTCTCCGAGGGGGCCTCCTCCAGCCACATGGGCATCCGGAGTGCCAGCCAGCCAGGGTGAGTACAAGCGCCCGTGGGGCCTGGGGCTGCCCCTGCTGACCACACTCCTTGCCAGCGATCTGATACCTGTTTCCCATGGAAACCCCAATCACAAACAATAGAGGACGGATGTAAACCCTGGGACAGCTAAGGAGTGTCTGTAGGATCCTAACAGACGTGCGGCTGGTGGCGGACAGGAAGCGGCCCGGGGGGTGAGGGAGGAGGGGAGTGTGGGCAGTGGTGGGCAAGGGAAGGCCAGGAGGTGCTATCCTCACTGCGGGGGCCTCGGACCGAGGAAGGTGGCGAGGGAGTGGCAGTGCTGTTTCGATCCCCTTCAGAAAAGTGCGGGAGGCAGCAAGTGCTGAGGGAGACTCACGGGTCCCCTCCCTCTGCCAGGGACACCCCATGGCGATCTATCAGGTGTGATTGCCTTGGGGACTTCCTAAGAGTGCCTACCGGTGTCTGGTTGGGTTTCCAAGCCTTAAAATGGTGTCACAGTTATGTAGGCTTCTGGGACTTGCCCCTTAGTAGTAAAGTTGTCCCTAATTCACATCTGGCGGGGCCTGCAGCTGTTGACTGTTCATCTCCAGTGCTCCCGCTACGGGCAGATGTGTGTTCCCGTTGCTTCAGGTCCTGAGCATTGAGTTAGTCTCCATCCACCATTTCTAGCTTCCTGCCCACGTCCCCTGGGCCGAGGACACCGGCTGCTCCTGGGCTCGCCCCTAGCAGTGCAGTCCGGGTCACAGGACAGTCAGTGCTCTCACCACCAGGTTCTTGTGAGAAGAGTTCACAGTGTATTTCCCATGGGACAGTCGAAGGTCCTGCTGCCCTGAGACTTGTCCTCCCTGTCCTGCCGCCACGTTAGTGGGGACAGGACAGTCTCTCGGGTGGCCGTCCTTACTACTTCCTTGTTTGCTCGTGACTGACAGCTGAGCGTCCTCCTTGCCTGTGGGTGGATGTCTTCAGGCGATGGGAGGGCAGAGTTCCGCCTGCGGCGCCCTCCTCCTGCCGTGCGGAGTGCACGCGTTCCCCAGCTCAGGCACCCAGACGGCTCTCCCCTCTCAGGTTCGAGTTAGTCATCGTGTGGAGGGTCCACATAGACGCAGAAGGGAAGGTGTTGCCGAAGCTGGATCTTCTCACCCAAGTGCCGCAACGAGGTAGGCCGGGCAGGGTTCGGTCTCTGATGTGCCCCCGACCGCTTATTCCTCCTGGTTCCACGTGGGAAGACTCAGAAGTTGGAAATCTCATTGTATTTTTACATCACTTGTGCAAACATTTTGATCAGTAATCACTCCAGAAGCACCTGCTGGTCAGTGTGTGTTCACGGCCACCCCCAGGGGCCAGTCGGGGAGCAGGGACGGGTCCCCATGATGTTTCTCACCCAGTCTGTTTTCCTTGCAGCCCTGGAGCTGGACGAGAAAGGGGTGATAGAAATGGCTCCGGCCAGCTTCCGAGTGCTGCTGGGCGTGCTGGGCATCGAGGTGGCCCTGGAGAGCCTGCTGAGAGTGGTGTGCACGGAGGCAGAGCCCATGCTCCCGAACAGGGCCGCGCAGGAGGCCGGCGCTGCACCGGGCGGCGTGTGATTTTATTGCGTATGAGCAGTTGCTATTCCCCACTTAGAAATCTCACCCGTAGAACATGTCTGTGCAGTTACGGCACGTTGTATGCAAGCTGTCAGGACATGGAAAATAAACACAGCTATGTGAGTACAAAATGCCAGACTGCATGTGGGGAGCAGCTGCGCCCCACCTAGTCGGAGGCAGAGGCAGCCACCCCCACCTGCAGCTCTGGGAGACTCATTCCTTAGACGTCCCTCAGATGCCTCAGGAGCCCCTCCTCCCGCCGCCCTCCAGAAAGCCACCTCCGAGGCATCAGCAGCGCCTCTCAGCAAGTCCCAACACTCGCTCTGGGACATCCACAGAAAGTGAACGTGAGCCAAAACCTACAGTGAGACAGCAGAGACTGCACGGCCCCACAGGACCTGTGCCCGCCCCTCTGCACTGGCCGCAGCCCCCACTGAGAGTGTCAGAACTGGTGAAACAGTGTTTTGGCCCAGAGAACACCACGGTCAGGTCCGAGGCTGTGGTGGGACACGCCCAAGCAGGGGCCGTGCGCCCATCTCCTCGTCCCCAAGTTCCAGACGGCCCAGTCCAGCCAGGACAGATCCCCGGGAGGCTGCCCCGCCAACCCCTTCAGGGGCTGGCGCTCCAGAGCTCCCTGCGCTGACCCAGGATGCTCTCCGCCCAGGGAAGGCCTTGGGGCACTGTCCCGCCCCCACCCTCCCACCAGCCACAGGCCCTGGGAACAGGTGGTGGAGGCCCCTGTGGTGGAGTCTCCAGGCCTCTGGCCCCAGCACTGACATAGGAGACACGTGTCTTCCGGGCCTTTCTGACCCTCTGCGCACAGAAGCAAGTATCAGGACAGAATTAAAGAATAAACTCTAGGTAAACTGGCTTAATTCAAACAAGTGTAATTCTCAAGTTATCACAAAATTTCCCCACAAAAATTTACAATCAGCAAAATATTCTTATTTTTCATATAATTCCACAGTTTCACTATTATAATATTATATAACAATAAGCCTTCATTAATCCCTCAAAATGGCAATATAAATAACCCATCTATACAACCTGCTCTAGGGTGAGAACGAAGCCAGGGGTCCACAGGTCCGTAGCAGCAGGCGCACGAGCCCAAGCCCCCAGGTGCAGCCAGGAGCCGAGTGCCCGCAGGGCAACCCTGGGAGCCCCGACCAGGAGCCCCCACTGGAGGCTGTGAGCACACCTCTCAGTGGACCCGAGGGAGGACAGAGAACAGTTCTGGCTCTGGCAGAACCGGTGCGGTCCCCAGACCCCCCGAAGTGCCATGAGCACGGGGCTGCCCGTGACCCCACCCCGGGTGCAGCAGCTCAGTTCAGCTCCCACAGCAGCAGCTTCAGGTGAGCAAGGCGCCTGGTGTCCCCCAACATCCAAGATAGAAACATTCAGGGAAGGAAGGAGGTCGATGCTCGCGAGTGGTGGCCCCGACCTGAGTCCCGTGGGCCCTGCTGACCCTGCACCTGTGTAGGGACCTGTGTCCAGGCCTCTCAGGACCAACACCAGCACCCACAACCCATCCCTGCACTGGGGGCCACCAGCCTGTGCTGGCGTGGGGCCAGCCTTCAAAGTGACCAGGTAACTCAGCTGGGAGGTGCCAGTGGGACCCTGTTTCCTTAAGAGATACATGTGACCGTTCAAGTTTCGTGCGTTAGGAGTCTGGTGGGAGACCCAAACCTGGGTCCCACAATAAGGCTTTTGCTTTAGAGATTAGACAGGGCCTTGGCGGGAAGGAGAGCTGCCCAGAGAGGCCCCAGGACACAGCACCACAGGCCTCGCCCGGCATTCCGAGTCCTGGAGACCGTCCCTCCTTTCTGTGTCCCAAGAGCAGCTCCCTCGAACAGTAGTTAGAAAGCAGTAACATTCACAGCCAGAAGTCACCCGACACACAGCGCTATGGTTCAACCTTCACATTCTGTGTTTGAGTTCCAGAGACACCACAGGGACAGCTAGACCTTATGGAGAACTAATGTACAGTCTTTGCTTTCCTTGAGCCGAGTGGACACCATGTCGGCGTCTTTGGCGTGCACGGCCCTCGAATAGTAGTTGACGATCTTGCCGTCCAGCTTGTACTGGTGCGGGATGCTCTCGTAGGGCTTCAGGTCAAGGTCCAGCACTGACACGGAGAAAGCAAACCTGGATCTCGATGACAGGACCACAGGCCTTTGATCAGAGCTGGAAGGGAAAAAGCAGTTTCAGTGATTTCAGCAACTCCTCATCCCCTCAATCTCGCTCACCAAGAGCGCCCTCTGTGTGTCCGGACACAGCCCGTATCTGTCCCCGGGCACCAGCACTAGCGGCTTCTGCTCAAGACCCACCAGCACACAGGTGAGAGGGTTACATGCAGAAGGATGGAAAGCCAGCTACACAGTGTACTTGTGACATTCCCCACATTCCCCACAGTGGGATATGCTGAAAAGGACACTGTATCCTGGGCCAACAATTACAAAACCTAAGAAAAAGTAGCCAGATCTGCCCATCCAACCGCCAGATGGACAGTGTTGAGAACGGACTTCTCTCACATGCCTTCCCGTCTGCTGGGGCCTGGGCCCCTTTCTGCTCTCTCACAGCTGGTTTCGTGTTTCATTCTCAAATTGTATCTACAGTGTTCAGTATTTTGTTTCTAGGGTTTAGTTTTGTGGCTTTTCTAAACATTGGAAGAGTCATATGCTTATAACCATATATGAACAATTTACTTGTCCTTAAAACACAGACTAATCCTGCCTGTCGTAATGAGGCAGCTGTGCACCCGCAGGCTGTGCACGTGCTCAGTCACGGTCTGCGTGCAGGTGACCGGGACGTGCCTGAGACCAGCTCCGTGTGGCTGAAGGGAAGCAGTCAGGACTCCTGACTTCCCTATTAACTACTATTTAGAAATCATTAAACAAAACAAGTCAAACAAATAATAGCCAATTTCAAAAGCTCGGCTGGGAGAAGGAAAGCTGACTGTGTTCCTGTGCAGAGGAAGCTACTCCAGGCCTGGACTGTGGCGGGGTCCCTGCTCCAAGCACAGCCGACAGGAAGAATGGACCTGGGGCCCGGGCCCGGGGCTCCTGGCACTCCCCTGATCCGCAGGGAGCGTGTCTGCAGGTGAAGGTCTTGCTTCAGTCTCCTCAGGGCCTAAAACCCGAGCTCGGTGCAGCTGGGCTTGGGACAGTCAATGTCTCCACCCTCAACACGGCTGCCTGTTTTAAAGGACACCCATTTCTCACTCCAGCCGGCACCCCACAAGACCATGTGAGCCCAGCTGGTAGGGGCATGGCCATAGGGCCGCCCCCCCAAAAAAAGTGTGTCTGTTTGTCAACCAGAAGCTCCCCCCATGAGCCTAGGGCTCCTGACACCTAAACATTCCGTCACCCTGGGGTGGAGACTGGGGCCCACGTCTCAGACCTTTCTGGACATGCGGCCCGGCTCCTGTCCCAGTGTGGGGGTTTTCACTGAGGGTGCTAGGCCAGGGTCCTCTGCCCCCCACATTTCTGAACCCCAACTGCACCCTTGCGTCAGGCAGGTGAGATCGTAACATCAGTGTGGTTCCCTCATTCAGCATCACTACTGTAATCCAGCAGATGAGTCCTTGTAGCTACGCTCTGGTGGCTCTGGGTTCTCAACCAAACAGAACCACTTTTCTCGGCATTTGTTTTACCCTAGAAACTTCCCTCCATGTTTCCCGCCAGAAAACAGACGACGCTGTGCCTGTGGGCAGCAGAGCCTGGGGACGTTCATTTCAGTTCAGGGGCAGACCAGGTGGCCAGCAGCCCGACCCGGGAGACCCAGGACATGTCAGAGAGCGAGGACCTTCCACAGACACTGGGTTCCGCACCCTGGAGGTCAATGCCATCGATTTGCAACAGAAGATGATCAGTTTCATCCTGAACTAGAAACAGAAGGAGACAGGAGGACAACGTGGCATCCAGGGAGCCATCTGCAGATGGGCCACACGGTGCCTGTTGTGTCACAGCCTTCAAATGACTGGAGTCAGGCACGCCCGCAGGGCAGAGGGCGCCATGGGACCCACACTCCTCAGGCCTCGGGGCTCTGAAAGAGGAATCTGACCACAGTATCCAAACTGCTTCTAGGTCCTCAGTCTTTTCTTAGAAAATTACAGTAATCTTCAACGTAAAAGAAAAATCTTTTAGAATTATTCTCCATAAACGTTTTTTTGACTGAATTACAACCTTCTGTGATCTCTAAATGTGGGCACCGGACTTGTCAGTCCACAAAGACACGCAGCACACGGCTCACCTGGCGTCCTGCAGACACGGGGACAGCGCAATCATGATGGAGCAGTCCTTCGCGGTCATGGCCACCCGGTACTGCTGCACCTGCGGGGAGCAGAGGTCAGCTCGGACACTGGGCACCACAACAGGCACGCTTCCTCCCTCGAGGTCTGGGCCCAGCCACAGCTGGGGCGCGTCAGGACGCATAGGCCCTAGGGCTCCTCCGAGGCCTGCATGCGGACCCTGATGCGAACCCTGGGTTTGTGTCCCGCAGCAGCTGCACCCGGCCTCAGAGGAGGGAGCAGTCAGTGCCTCGGCCGCTGCGGTGCCAGCCACGTGGGTAGGACAGAGCGGACATCCCTCCAAACCTGCTCGGTCAGTTCTGAGCAACAGGACGTGCTCGTCACCTCCCATCCCCGGTGCTGCGCAGACACCTAGCATGACGGACGAGGGAATGGGGACAGAGCAGCCTGTTCGTGTGCACTGCTGGGAGAGAGCAGGGCGACTCCAGCCCAGGTGCTTCGCCCCGCGACTGTGCTCACAGCAGGCGGCAGGCACGTGCCATCTGCCCTGCTGGCCTGACTTGTAGAGCCGGGGTGCTCTTGGGGGTGTCAGCAGACAGTGATCTGAAAAGATGTTCGTTCACCTCTGCATGGAACCTGGGGCGTTCTTTCCCTTTTCTTCTTTCAACTTTCCTGTCATTTATATTTTTAGATTGAATAGCTCTCACTTTTACAAAAATAAATTAGTTACAAAGAGGAACTTACACGCTATCACTGACCGCGTGTGTGTGCCGGCAGACCCAGCCCTCCCTGAGGGACACCACACTCTGCCTTCCCCAGGCAGGGCAGGCGGGAAGGGGCGGGGAGCCCCACGTGCGGGTCGCCTCAGGCCTACGCTGCTCTCAGGCCTGCAAACCCGCCCAGCTCACGGGTCGAAGGGGTCGGGAGCCCCTCCACTTACACCAGTCATGTGGCCGAGAAGTCAGGCATTTCACAACATGTAACAAAAATAGTCAAATAATTACTACGAGATAAATAGAAAACCCAAAGTATAAAATATTTATAGTGTCCTAATCTGCAAGTCATAAAACCCAGAAGCTATAAAAGACTAAAAGATTTGAATACTTAAAAATTAAAATCTTTTGCATAATTGAGTCATAATGAAATGTAAAAACCTGGAAAGAAGGGGAGAACATATTTGCAACGTGTAAGAGATGATCAACATCAAAACTGTGGAAAGTGCTACATCAATATGTAAAAGAAAAGAACCCAAGAAAATAGGGACCAAAAACCCGACAAAAGGAAAAATACTAAAAAAGTGTATGAAAAGTTGTTCAACCTTACTAGCAATGAAGGAAATGCAAATCACAGCAGCGAACTATTTTCACTTGTCAGATGAACAAAACTAAATATAAATGTGTATTTGACCGAATGAAAGGGTCAGACCTCCACTGAGCGTGGTGTCAGGCTATGCTGCTGGGGCCCGCCCAATGGCTCAGTCAACTAGGAAAAGCTGGACAAGCCCCGGCCACTTGGCTCAGTCGCTGGCCTGAGCACTGAAAGGTCTCGGGTTCAATTCCTGGTCAAGGGCACGTATCTGGGTTGCAGGTTCAATCCTGACCTCAGTCGGGGTCATGTGGGAGGCAACCAATCAATGTGTCCCTCTCCCATCAATTCTCTCGCTCTCCCTTTTTCTCTCTCTTTCCCCCCCTCCCTCCCTTCATCCCTCCTTCCATTCTATCTATAAAAAAATCAATGGAAAAATAAATTCCAAAACTGTGAAAAGACATCAAGCCACAAATTCAAGAGTGACTTTATACATGTCATCAAGCAGTAACTGGGAAGGAATCAGCAGCAAACCTACACCGAGGGACCGTGAAACGGTCTTCTTCACTCTTCGGACAAAACCTGTGGCCCCAGATACAAGCTCCCAGATGCAGGGCACAGCGACGGGCAGTGGGGAAGGTAAACAGGCTGGTAATGGACACTGACCGCATACGACATTAACAGTGATGTCTTCTGGAATTTGAAACAGCAGGACACACAGCAGCAACAGCAACGCAGTCAGGAGTGCTAGTGAACATGCTCAGAGGTCTGCACTGTCCGGGACACAGCAGAAGTACTAACCAATATGGGTTTTCATCAGGCAACTGCTTGCTGCCATCCCTAGGATCAACCACTACAAGAAAAGTAACAGACTCAGCAACTTCCAAGCTAACAGAGGGGGAATGGAATGATTAAAAAATAATAATAAAACCCAAAATACACTAGGAGAGGAGAGAAAAAGAAACCTGAATCAGGTGGAAAAATGAAAAGGTTTAAACGCAAGTGTCAGTCCAATTAAATGATAAAGACAATGTGTGAATGAATAGAAAACCACACTATTTCTTAAATACAAAGACACAGGAAGATTAAAAATGAAAGGGCAGCCCTGGCTGGTTTGGCTCAGCGGTGAGAGTGTTGGCCTGCGGTCCCGAGAGACCCAGGTTCGGATCCCAATAAGGGCATGTTTGTCCCCAGCCCCGGTTGGGGTCATGTGGGTGGCATCCACTCAATGTGTACCTTTCATGTCGATGTTTCTCTCTCTCTCCCCCTCCCATTCTATCTGAAAAAAAAAAAGGAAAAATGTCCTCGGATGAGGATTAAAAACTAAAAAAAATGAAAGGGCAGAAAAAAGGTAGTTTAAGTTTTAACCAAAAGGATCTAGAAAAGTTACACAAATATCAAAGGAAACTTTAAGGTAAAAAAAAAAAAAAAGTATTTCCAGAGACATCAAAAATAATAAATGACACCTGAAAATGAAAAACTCAATTTACCAAGAAGATTAACTATTCTAAATAGTAAAGCACCTTGCTCTGGCCGGTGTTGCTCAGTGGTTAGAGCGTCAGCCCACGGACCAGAGAGTCCTGGGTTCAGTTCCCACTGAGGGCATGTACCTAGGCTGCAATTTGTCCCTGGCCTGGATGGGGTCGTGTGGGTGGCAACCACTCAATGTGTCTCTCTCATCAATGTCTCTCTCTCTCTCTCTCTCTTCCTCCCTCGCTCTATCCCTCCCACTCTGAAGACAGATGCAAATAAAAATAAAACAAAATAAATAAATGTAAAGCACCTGACAATATAGCCTCAAAATAAATAAGAAACAAAAAATCTATAATTAAGTTTCAATACCCTTCTCATGGAACAGCCAAACAGTAAAATCAGTGAGGTTACAGATGATCTGAGTGACACAATTGACCTAATGGCGAATATAAAACAACTGAATCCAACAAGTTAAGAAGATATCTTCAAGTTCACACAGAAGCATAAAAAAAAAAAGTGAATAAAAAAAGACACAACAAATTCCAAAGGATAAAAAGCCAATCGCAACAAATTTTAAAGGATCACATCCTACTTTATATGATCTTGGCTACAATGCCATTTTGCTAGTAATCAATACAAAATAAACCAATAGAATCACGTTTGGGAATTGTTTTTCTTCCAAAATATTTCCATGGGTCAAAGGAGAAATCTTAACACCAGTCACAGAATATTTCAGTGGAAGGACTGCACACAGCTTGTGGACGTAGCTGAAGCCACGTGTACAGGAAAACAGGGTGGGCTGCAGCAGGCTTACAGCTGTGAGCACACGGAACAGAGCCTACTCTTGTATTTTTGTTTATTAATTATTCCACTATTTTCCATGTGAACTGCGGACCTACTTTTGTCCAGCCCTGTGTATAGCCTTCAATACATATTTTAGATAAAAAGGCCAACACTTAAGTAAGCATTTCTTATCAGGAAGAAGTTATAGAAAGAACAAAGTATCCAAAGAAATTTTTAAAAAAAGGAAATAATCAAGCCCAGAAAGTAATGAAATGGAAAATCATCCAGTATGGGAAGGGTCATAAAGCAATGTTTATAAAACAAACAAATTAATAAACTCTTGATAGAATGTATTGAGAAGACAAATACTATGCGTCAGGAATAAAAGAGCACCGTTCAGATCCTCTAAATTTTAAAAGATAATAAAAGAATATTACAAAAAAATTACATCCAAAATTTTTGAAAATTTTAGATAAATTTTTTTTTACAAAATACAATTTATGAAAACTGACAAAAGAAAGAGAAAATCTGAAATTGAGATCATTTAAAATTGTCCCACAATGACAACCATGGGCCCAAATGGTTTCACTTGTGATGCTACAAAATATTTAAGGAAGAAATAATAAGAGTTTGATTCCACCTCTTCCAGTGAAAAGAAAGTGCTCAAACACTATGGGAAAAACTTTTTTTCAATCCTCACCTGAGGACACTTTTCCATCTATCTTCAGATAGAGTGGGAGGGAGAGAGGGAGGGAGGGAGAGAGAAACATTGATGTGAAAGAGACACACCAACAGGCATACTCTTGATACCAGAACCTAACAAAAACATTACCAAAAACTCACAAACATTTATGAAGACTCCTTGCCCAGCCAGAGTGGTTCAATTAGCTTTCATCCCTGTGTACCAAAAGCTTGCTGGTTCCATTTCCGATCAGGGCACATACCTGGGTTGCGGGTTTGATTACCAGTGGGGGCACATATGTTTCTCACATCTATGTCTGTCTCGCCCCCCGCCCCCAGCAAAGTGTGTCCTTGGGTTCTGAGTAAAAACAAAAAAAGATTCCTGCCCTGGCCAGTTTGACTCAGCAGTTGGGGCGCCAGCCTCTGGACTGAGGGGTCTCGTGCATGTGCCTGGGATGCAGGTTTGACCCCTGGCCCCGTTCAAGGTCATGTGGGAGGCAGCCTATCAATGTATCTCTCTCACGTGGATGTTTCTCTCTCTTTCCCCCTCCTGCCCTTACACTCTCTCTAAAAATCAATGGAAATATCCTCAGTTGAGGATTAACAAAAAATAAGACTCCTAAGCAAAATTTTAGCAAAGCACATAACATATAAAAAGAACAAAACATCACTATAAATTGTATAATTAACCACATTTTTTAAAAAATATTTTTTACTGATTTTTTAGAGTGAGAGGAAGGGAAAGAGAAACATTGATTGGCTGCCTCCTGCACACCCCCACCGGGGATTGAGTCCGCAACCCCGACACATGCCCTGACTGGGAATCACACTGGGACCTCT